ACTGAACAGTAAACGGCAGGTAGATTTATCAATACTTGATTTCACTAAAGCTTTTGACAAAGTCCCCCATGGCAGGCTCATCTCAAAACTGGAGTATTATGGAATCCAACGCTGAATTGGTTAAAGGCTTTCCTGACCAACAGGGCACAAACAGTAGTGGTTGAAGGGACGGCGTCGTCTCCAGTTAAAGTAGCGTCTGGGGTCCCTCAAGGAATCGTCCTGGGACCATTGCTCTTTCTCTTGTATATTAATGACCTACCAGATCAGCTTGACTCAAATGTGAGGTTATTTGCCGATGACTGTCTGTTGTATGTAGAGCTGTCTATACAGAATGGCTCACACCTTTTACAAAAGATCTGAACACGCTCGAAGAATGGCAAAGCAAATGTCTCATGGAGTTAAATCCCGAAAAATGCTACATCATGTATATAACAAACGAACACCACATGCAACTAGCTACCAGTTTTGTGGTCAGGCTTTAGCAACCACATCCGTATCTGGGCGTCACACTGACAAGCGGTCTGAAGTGGGGGGCACATGTTAATAATATCACAACTAAGGCGATACAGACAGTGGGAGTAATTAAACGTAATCTGTGTGCATGTCCAACTAGAGTAAAATCACTTGCATACACGTCACTTGTAAGACCGAACCTAGAATATGCCGCGACAGTATGGGATCCATATACAAAGAAAGACAAAGACACATTGGAAAGGGTACAGAATCGAGCTGCAAGATTCTGTATGAACAACTATGAAAGAGGTGCTAATGTCACGGAAATGAAAAGTAACCTACAGTGGGCCTCACTGGAAGACAGAAGAAAGATGTCCACACTATGCATGATGTACAAAATGACTAATAAACTGGTGGACGTCCCAACTACTAAGTACATAATACCAGCCCAGAAGAGAACAAGAAATAGCCATGCCTTCAAGTACCAGAGTTATCAAGCAAGGATTGAGGTGTTCACGAATTCATTCTTTCCTAGAATTATCACAGAGTGGAACTCGCTGTCACCAAGTACAGTAGGGGCATTGTCATTAGATAGTGATCATTAAAAAATGTCTTGAGTAAGAAGTTCAAGGTTAGGTGTGACAAGTCGACCGGTGTTATATAGCCAGCTGCCGTCGCGCCGCGTGCCTGCGAAGCTGGTGTGTTACGCCAAAAGGCGGTTATACCGGCTATACACATACAGATACTTGGTCTGTTAAGGTGGTCAGCAGAATTGGTAGGATGACCAGTCCGTGAGCCACCCCGAGGACCATCACCAGGAAAATGATCTTAAATAACGCTTGGAAAATATAGGCTGGAAAAAAGGCCAGGACCAACATGCCGAGGATAGTGGAGAGAGAAGATTGCAGCATGGGCATGCCGACGGCACACACGGCATCTGTCAGTTTTTCCTCGGGAGTTGCAGCTTTGGAAGTTACATAAACGTAGGTAATGTGTGAGAAAAAATCCACGGAGAACCCGGTACACATGACGATAGCTATCAAAGAGATCATGTCCAGATTTATCCCCCATAACGTCATGTACCCCACAAGGCCCGCGGTGATGGACACCAGAGCAAAGGTGGTGAGCAAAGCAGCGACACCGTGCGGAATCAAGAGGAAGCACACCGCGAACATGATCGCTACAGCAATGCCCGCCGTCTTAAGCGCACTCGGGGGGATAAAGGCTAGCTGGTCTGACAGGAAGAAGTCAACGCTGTATGCCCTCATTATAACTGGCTCGCCTTCTGCGATACGACGAGCTTCTGTCACCATGGCTTCCCCTCTCTCACTAGTGGTAGTTGTCACGTTCTTTGGTATAACAAAGAACCGGGACGCGGTTATTCCAGTATTGTTAACTGTAAAATTTACAGACCTATAATACTGCCGCCCAACCGTCGGCAGAAACTGGCTGATTAGAATCTGCAAAAAGGACGTCTTGTCTGTGGCGGCACGAGAATTGCCAGTCCGATTCAGAAAACGGAGATAGTCTCGCAACCAGACTTCAGCGGTCTCTGATGTGTCAAAGAAATACTGGCTCTGGTCGAAGGCTTTCAGTTTGTCTAAGACAGCCTGTTGCACTTCTGTTTTCCAATATTCCTGTGGTTCGGTTGTAAAGATATCTACTTTAAGGCCATATTTGTGAAAGTGCGTGTCCAATGCATCGAAGTATCCGCGGACGTATGAGTCGTCTGCTACTGAACGTTGGTTGTTAAGGCCTATATGAATTTGAAGGCACCCCCAGATAGCTACCCCCAGATAAGCAGCGTACAAAAGAAATATGACCACTTTTGACGAGGGTTTCAAAATAAATGGAACGAAGTTAGTATACAACTAGAGAGGCCGACATTTGCTTGGGAGCAAATACAGCATATTTCAGTCCATCTCCCTCCCACGCAAAAGTGGACTATTCCAAACTTACCCCAGTGTAAAACTGGCAAAGATTCTCAAATAAATGAATTATATAGTAGCTATGTAATTGAGATCAAAGATGCAAGAACAAGCACATTGTATCTCGAAAGCTTTACTAGTCTTATTACAGGTATGCAAATACTAACAATGATGAGATTTGATACATTTTGAAGGTCTTAGGCACATAAAATTGAATGTGTGGGTCATTCCGTACGACTTACGTGCAATGTGACCTCAGGTAACCCGCAATGGAACAGGTGTTCCATGGCCAACGGCAGATGGAACAGGCCATTCTTTAGATAGAACATGGAACGGGTATAGCACTTTTGGCCCTTTTTTGCTGAAAATAGCCATTAAAGTCCCCCAAATGAGTCATTTGGAAGTGGTGTATGCCAAATATGTGACTGCTATTCTGTAGACACATGTTCAAGGTACCCTTATACCGAATTTCAGATCATTTGGTTGTAAAACCAGGGCTCAGGATCCAAAAATCCATTTTTTGGCGAAAAATGCCCCAAAAAACCTTTATAAAAATTTTTCAAAGGCATGTATCAAAAAAATGAAAAAAACGCCTGGGGGTATTGGCTCACTCTACCTCCATGCCGAATTTCAAGTCATTTGGCTGAATGATGGCGGAGTTGAATCCCTTTGACTGTGTGGCAGGAGAAGGAGAAGAAGGAGAAGAAACATCAGAGAACACAATATATTTCATCCATACCATGGTATGGACTGAAATATAAAAAGTAAAATAACATTCAAAATGTTTTCAAACTATGATGAAATCTCTTAGACCAAGGAAGTCAAAATCAAATCTTTGCAAAACCTCCTTGCTTAGACGATTAGATTTGAAACTTGAAAGGATTGAATGATATTATCAGGTCATCCCCATATAATGTCCTTGCTGCTGTACCTTCGTAAAGAGGAACAAGGCTTCGAAATTCGAATGTACGAATTTCGAAAATTCGAATACCAAACTTTTGCCCGAATTTTGATCGAATCGGTGCTCGAAAAGAACAAAGTCGTTGGCGTTCCCGTTCTGAGTAGTTTGATTTTTTTCCCGAGCAACAGATAACAAACTACAACACGGTTGTTTTAGTTTTAGTTTTAGTAACTTTTACAAGTCCTTGGTGAGAAATCAGTAAATAAAGAAATATACAAGGGCATGCAAGTCATCCTACCTGCCAAATACTATTCACTAATTTCGGGCATTTGTATTAGTT